ACTGCTTTGTTTTTGCTTTGAGCTTTGGCGCAAGTTTGCCGGAGGTAGAAGTTGTGCTGGCCAGCGATCTCATAAGTGACGATCATATTAGATTTCATTTTTTTAAATTTCGCATAACATGCCTTGTGTCGTTAAATTATATTCCATAAATTTTACTGCACCTCACTATTGACAACAATGTACAGCATTTAGCTCCTTTAACGTGTTAATACGAAACTTTATAGTCAAAACGGCCTACATAGCATACTATACTACCGGCCGGTACTATAGTTAAAGTTGTGTTTAAGAGTACTGAGCGCATTGGAAGTGTTCTTTAATATTGAATATATTATTTCAATAAACAGTGTGCCGTATGTGGAAAAAAACAAGGGATGCGTAATGCGTCTGGTTTTCCATGTAAATTGCATTTTTAAAATGGTTTGGCGTCACGTTGTCTGTATTGTAGGAAGTGTGATGTAATGCAGTAGGCTATCATCATGTGTTACGTGGTACTGTAAGTAGCATTTGTTATAAATAAATCATGAGAAACTTTACCTGTAACTGGCGAAAGCACGTGGATGCCGTGGCGGGAAGCAGTTGGGTGGCACCAATGCGCGGGGCGTTTGGGCAACCTCCGGGCTGCCAGGTTCATCCCAGCGCCAATCACCGGACTCCTATGGGAAAAAATAAAATCAAAGCTGTGGAAGATCTAAGTCCGGTACAAAAATTAGAATTTACGATTAATTTGTTTTTCAAACCAACGTTTCGGGCCTTTTGCAGATCCCATGGTTACGGCTAACTCAAGTTCACAAGTACCCTAAGATATGTAATTTTATTGAACAAATTTGTTTAAATTACTGTATAAATTTGTCAGTCGAATTTAGTAATTTTGTTTGTCACAGTAATATTTAGTAAATTTGTCACTGTCGAATATTTAGTACCTTTGTAAAATTGTACCTATCCATTGTCCATGAACTTTTTCCACGTCATTTCCTTGAGCAACATAATTCGTTTAAAAATAAAGAATTTTAACTAATAGACAGATAGATAAATGGTTTATTTATCACAAAACGCACACATGCAATACACATAAACAAAAATAAATAATAAAACTAATCCAAAAAAAACAATAGTACAAAAAAGTAACTACAATAAATACAATATAAGCATTAAAACAAGATCATTATTTTTTAAATTTTAAAAAACAAGATCAAATAAAAAGTACAAACAAATATATAGGCATTACAATAAAAGCTCGCAACGCATTGCATGTGTGCGCTGTGGTGATAAAACGGCCGTAGCTCTGCGTAATTGCTGCTCAATTAGAGCAACGTACACTGATATTCTGCTACGCCCGAGAGTAGCACAACACGGCGAAACAGCTGCGCGGCAGTGAGTGCGTATTGGAGTATAACAAAAGAATTAAATGTTTATAGAATCATATTTAATTTTATAATTATGAATGCCAAGATCGAACGTCAACCCGATGGGATTTGAATCCATGCTGCACCGTAGCATTGCTCTAACCATCTGAGACACGGGTCCAGTTACCGAGTCGATGAAAGTCGACCGTGTTTTTGTTAGATTTTTGTACTGATTTTTCGGCATTCGTTGCCGCTAATAATTTAATACTTTCATTGAATAGGATTTTTATAGAAGCGTGATATTCAATAATTTGTTGTCAGTTTCTCAAAAAAAGTAACTTTTTATCGAGTACTGTTATTGAGGATGCGATTTCTAACATGCAACTTGATATTTATGTCAGTTACCGACTAGAACAGTAATTTGTTAGGTAGTGCCATATGTAAAGGGTCTGGATACCTAAAGCGATTAACACACTGCACCGCGCCCTAACACGCGGAATCACGCGCGCGGTTCGGATACGCAGATCTGCGTCCACGCGCGGGGGCAGCGGTCTAGCGGCACCGCGTCACATAAAGTACTCGCTTCGCAGTTGTACGCCGTAGTGATTTTATATGTAGCCGAGATCCTTCTTTGACAAGAATGTTTAATAATACAGAACTCATTCAGGACGCTGCAGTTATACTATTTGGTTTTTGTTTACTCAAATAAAAAGGCGCTGAAGATATTGGATATATCCCTTTTTACGAACCAGATCGAAATGGATAATAATTTCAACTTCATTACAAAGATTCAAGAAAATAAGATACATCTGATAGATTTTCAATGGCAAATATAAATTTATCGTCGAGATCTATTGTAAACTGAACATTAAGCTTAAAAATCTGCGCGGTAGTGCGGAGCGCTGTGTGCTATACCTTGCGGTTCACCGCGCCCTTCCGCGTTAGGGCGTGGAGAAGCGTTGTCAGTGTGTTTGACGGCGCGTGTTTTCCGTACAAACCGAGGTACTTCAGTACAACGTTAAAAAACGCAGCTCCGCACTCCGTCGCGGGGCGCGGTGCAGTGTGATAATCGCCTAAGATGATTAAAAAATTCCACATGTGCCAGACAACCACGCCCACTACCTGGTCTCAAACAAAGGGATTCCCTACTATGAGGACTGTACCAGAGAAACGGAATTCACTCCGACACTACCCAGAATACCCAATTTTTTTTTATTGTACCCAAATCAGAAAGAATTAACTGCCTCCGTGGCCGGACCCGAACGTGGCCATGCTGCTCAGCCACGCAGAGGTCCCGGGTTCGATTCCCGGGTCGGGAGAAATATTTATATGGCCCACATTAATATCTAGCGAGTTTGAGAATGATTTGTGATTATCTATATGTGTTCATGGCACTCGGACAGGGTTTCCCTAGTACGCAGCAATCTGTGCATTAAAAAATTTTAGAAAAGTTCATTTCCCAAATTGGTTCAATTGGGAATCGAACCCCGGACCTCATCTAACACCCACAAAGCAAATCGCTAAGCCACTGAAATCGTCCGAGAGCTTACTATTTATAGTAAAAAACAAGTTTACTAAAATTATGTTTAATGCACCCAAGTGATTTAAGTTTACTAAAAGGGTACTTGATGCACGTAGGTGAACTAATTCAGGTGAATTAACGCACCCAAAAATCCAAACAGTTATGTCACCAAGCAACTGCATCGAGTAATTGAAATCGACGTATCTAGGAAAGAATCAATGCATCCGAAAGCCAACAAGCGTAAAAAGCTATCTGTATCCAAGAGATTTCCGGGTCGCGGGGTCGCGTCGGCCGATTACGCTTGGCATGGGCCTACACAAATAATATTAAATTGCCAGTGCAATGCCAATAGCTAGTCTCGATGCTTGGCAATACACAGCCAGACGTTGCCAACCCGTTGATATAACTTAAGGGCCTTGGCAGGGATAAAGTTCACATTTTAGACATGTTTATCACAGCCATTATTTAGTTTTCTATATTTGTACGAGAATTATGGGTGCATATGCAATTAGAGTTGTCCAAGATATAAACAACAAAAGGCGTATTTCATACACATTATTGTAAAGAAATGTACGTATTTGTTTTTAGTAGTTTTAGAGCTCCTTATGCAAGAGTTCGTCATGGGAAGTACTGTCACCATGCCTATTCTGCCGCCAAGCAGTAATATGAGCAATACTGCGTTCCGGTTTTGAAGGAACTTGTGCAACTGTCTCAGATTTCTGCCTTTTAAAATAGTCGCACTGCAACTTACGGGTAGACGTATCGCTTAACGCCTGGAGCATGGCTTTCTCGTCTGTCACTCGATATAAAAAATATGCACCAATTGACCGTACCTTTAAGAGGATAGTGTAAAGAATGAAGGCCTAAGCTTTTCGGCACACAAAAGAGCGCAGCGATGAATTAAGAAATATTCGCTAAAAGCTGTTTTAGAACATTTTTCAACGCATACACTCTAGCCCCGCACCAGGGAAACGCTGAGTCGCGGGTGCCATGGACACGTATAACCACAAATTACACCCAAGTCACGAGAGAAATAAATGTAGGCCATACAAATATTTCTACAGGCACAGGAATCTCTGCGTGGTAAACCAGCATAGTAAACGTTCGACTACGGAGTAGGAGGGAGGCAGTAAACTAAACGCAAGTAAGGTTGAAAGTAATTTTGGTTTTCCATGTCCAAATACTTATTTTTGTTATAATCTGTACATCAAAATAGTCCTCATGCCAAAGAACTCTGTCTCTGCGATCAGTTCGATCAGCTAGATTATTCATTATGTTTTTAAAAATTATCATTTATATGATTGAATATCCCATTTAAGCAGCTAAGTAATACTTTTCTTTGTCGTAGAAATAATATTTAAGGAGAAACAGCAATAATACCACCATCCAAGATTTAAAGACGCGCAGCGTGCGGGAAAACGACAGTTAATTAAATTACACAAGAATCTTGGAACCTATGAATTTATAAAGAACAATAACATCGCGGAAATGTCTTAAAATCGGGTTGTACTGTACGAAAGGGGGCAACTATGGAAAAACTGGAAGTAATTTTTTAAATTTTGTTTTACTCTTTAGCGTTCTTCAAATTTTCAGCGTTTGTTTCGAATAGATTAGACCTAAATAAACTTTTGTTAATTTTTCTATGCAGGCGGTAGTGTCCGAAAAAATTTTGTTGACAAATTTCATTTTCAAGACTCCAAGACACAGAAAAACGATTCTAAAGTGCCCCTTTTCCTACCGTCGTTTTGTCTAATTCTTAGATTTCCTTGGGATTGCTACATATTGATGAAACTATTCAGATGTAAATCGCGTAAATTTGTTAACGTTTTTCGAAATCAGTTCAGTAACTTGATAAAACAGTGAACATCTATTTTTGAAATAATAGACCCGTTTATTAAGAAATTAAATCAACATTGAATAAACAAAGACAATATTAGGAGACAATCCAAATTCAAGTGGCATGTAAGCTAATAGAAGTGCAACGGAGCCTCGATGCGGGCCGCGGTATTTGGCACCGAGCGGGCCATTAATGGGGCGCAGTTGGCAGCCCCTGAACATTAACCGCCGTCGAACCGGACGTCGTATGGGACGTTATGAAAGGACAATAAAACTTTCAAGAGTATAGCTTTTGATTGTTTCGCCAAAAAAATTCAAGACACGCGTGTAATTTTTTGTTACAAAATATTGGCGCCCGACGTGGGTCGGAATTTTATAAATACGATTCCATTTTCGACCCTTATTTTTAGTACTATGATATTCATCTAATTTTTATGAAAATATTACTAGTTTGTTATTATTGATTCAAAGACTGAACGCGCAAAGAGAAATTCCTTCGATCAGACTTTCCGGTTTCTTTTTTCTGTAACTTTTCGATCAAGAGCCAAGTTTTGATAAAAATTCGTTACTTTTTGAAATTAATCTTTCACTCAGTTAATTGACGGCAAAAACGAGAGTACCTCAACATCGAACAAGGCTTACGCCAGAAGAAACTTCACGACAATTTTAACCAAAAGAAACCTGCATGGCTTAAGCGTATGTCACGTGTCCGCGAGACCAAAATAATTGAGACCAACCTTACGTTAAACAAAACTAGGATATAACTTAACGTAGCACTAATCTACTGTACACAATGCAATAACCTATGCCTCATAGAAGGTGGCAAACCTTCAAAGAATTAGAAACTTTTTCTTTGAGAGACAAATGTTAACTTATAAGGAGACCACTCCGGGACCATTTCTATAAAATTAATAAATAAAATATCTGAAATGAAATGATATTTACAGATCTACAGCTGTGGCCATGGGACCAGTGAAGACCCAGATGGGTCTTCACTGTATTCAATGCTTCAATGCACTTTCAGCATTTGAAAAATATACGCGATTTAAATCCGAAAATAATTCGGTATTGCGAGTCATATTAGGGCACACGCTAGGAAATAATCCTAAAGGGTAGCAGTTCTCGAAATCGACAAGGACTACAGAACAGCGAAAATATTGACTCAAATATTAAATGTAAAATGGTTTTATTTTTAGAATAATTTTGAAATGCGGTAGCCACATTGAGCCAACAGTCGCTGGTTAAGAGTCAAAGTCTGTCGGATCAAAAACTTTTCTTAAATAATAACTTCTAAAGTGGAATGGAAAAAATTTATGTAGACTTCTGGAACTATTTTATAAAGCGTTAAAAATGAACTAGTGACTTACGTGATTGTTGATTTTGGGCACGGCGGCTGGCTCGGCGATATGCGTGGCGTCGAAGCCGAGGTAGTCTGCCAGCGAGCGACGATTCTCGGCGGAACCGCCGCCTGCGCGGCTTGTATCCTACAAACACATGAGCTTTTAAAAATCTTGTTCTAGCTGATGTCAATAAAAAAAATATTACAGTATTTCCTCTCGATGAAAAATCCCAAACAGACTGCAGTACTGATTAATATGTTTTAATTTATTCTAATTTCCATTATTAATTAAAAGTAAATTTAACTTAAAAAAATCATGTTAAAATAAAATAATTTGTAAGACAGGTAGCGTAAATTGGAATGTTCTTTGAAATTTTAAAAATAAGGTATTTAATTAATAACTTTTGTAACTATAGTGAAAAAATAGGGTGGTTTGCATTAGTATTAGACATATGTAACTGGTTGATGACTTGGTAGTCGCGACCGTGGAACCTGTAAAAGACCCGAAACGGTTTGTTTAAAAAAACAAATATTCGCGATTTAAATCCGGAAAAATAGTTTCATTTCCTATGTGTAACAATCGCGAAAACCTAAGAACTCGATAATAATAGCCTTCACATAGTCCTCCTACTGGACACAGGTCTCTCAAAGGGCCGGGCTTGGGCTGTACTTCAGATTCGGGCCCAATGCCGATTGGGAATTCCACACCCTTTAAATTGCTTTGCAGTTGTATGTAGGTTTCCTGACACGTTTTTCTTCACCGAAAAGCTCACTTGAATTTCAAACAATTCGCACATAATTCGGATTCGAACCCACGACCCTCTGAGAATCTGTAAATCAAACCATTAGGCTCCTAAGGCTTATAAAAAGAAGTAAAGCGGCTCGGGCCACAGGCAGAATAAATTATCACGATTCGATTTTCAAATGTACTATCATAGGTGCGCAGACTAGAAAAATCATTTATTCTTTTAAAAAAAAAATAAGAATAAAGATTTAGACAGGACTAAATTACAAATAAAATTATGCCATAGCATTATTTAAAATAAAAAAAATTTTGCTCGCTCAGAAGCTCGTTGCAGAAGTGATCACCGCCGTAATCCCATCGCACAAATAATTTATAAAATCATGTTGTATGACAGTACCAAAGGCGGTTTTATTTTTAATATTGTATAGATAATTTATAAAACAAATTCCCAAGAGCTGGGCCAAATAGTTAATTTTTTTCTGGTGGACATTTCTCGAGAAAGTATCTGACGTAATGGAAATTTGAATAATAAGCATTATATTTTGGTCGAAACGAATAATATGCGAAACAATTAAAACTTATTTTCAATTTCATAGTGCTTCGATATCGTCCGATTAGATAATCGCTTTGTAATAAAACATTTAAACATGGCTTACGAATATTAGAAGACAGCAGATTGAATTTCCGAAATAAAATTAGGAATTAAAAAAATCATTACAATTCTTACTTTTAAAACAATTCCGAGGGTAGGTGCGTAGTCTAAAAAATAACCGTCCGTCATCTAACTTGAATTACGCGCGGTAATACGTAGACACTGACTGATATTTGTAAAAGCTGGAACTACACGTGGTCGAAAAACTTGTAAAATTGCAAAGTAAAGTTTTTGTACAAGATACGACACTGCATAATATCTAGTCTAGTAATAAAATCGAAACTAACCTGATGCAACAGCGGCATAAGTTCTTCAGAAACTTTTCAGAAGTTTTGATGCTTGAGTTTCGATGTGTATTCGAACAGAGTTTCCCCTTTATCCTCTTCACTCGGCCACGGCTCAATGACTGACGGCCGGCAGTAGGGTGAGCCACGAAACACGAAGCCACCACCCCGCCCAATTCCCACTCCCGCCCCTACCGCCAACCCCACACCGATAAAACATTTGTTTTAATATTTACACATTTTCTATCGTATTTTTTCCGACAAAACAAAACTAAATAATATTATTTCGCATAATAAATACCTAATCTAAATTTTCACTTACAGAAACTTTGCTTTCATCGAAATAAAATAAAATAGTTTCGCGCTTCCCGCGCGTTACCCAGGTGGTTGGGGAGGAGCGGGCCTCTGATTGGTCAACTGTTTGTTCTATCATTGAACGGCAGAGGGCGCATGCGCGATGGAGAGTCAGTTGACAAACTTTTTTGTTATGAAATGCATATTCTTTCCGGGAAAAGACAAAATGTGCAAAACAAAAAGTATGCCACTGAAATTTTATTATAAATTAAAATAAACCAGATAAAATTATGAAAAACTCTGAAAAGGTCCATCAGCATACTAGGTATTAGATTGATCAATCCCTTTAAAACATGTTTTAATAAAAATACTTGGTATCTGTGTTCCTTTTATTGCTCGGTAGATGGCGCTGGGCGTAATGATTTTTAAAAATTAAAGCAATAAAAAAAAATTGACAATAAAACTTGAAAAAAAAAATAAAAAAATTAATTGTAATAAAAACTCTTTAAGACACAATTTCATTCTTTTATTTCATATTTGTTTACAACAATAATCACAAATAGTACGTATACACTAGGGTTCGGTACAATCAACCGCAAATTATATACCATTCATCAGTTAACTCATACCTAGCACATCGAACTTAAGAGTAAACTCCACTTTATATTGTGTTGTACACAATTGATAAAAGTTCAAAGATAAACCCATGTATGTCCGATATTTTGGCACGCCCTCTGTTGTTTAAAGCGCGGAGATCATATATGATAATCTAATCATTGTTAAAAATATATATCCTTTCTCATCTACTTCAGCGTATAAGCCAAGGTGCTACCTTACTTTATGGAGCTTGTAGTATCTTCCTTAAAAGCTACCACTATGAGGTAACCCTCAGTAATCTTTACTTAGTAGGGTCCCCCTCACATCTCAGTCAATGTATGGAAGACCTGACAACCACACGGGGCCCCCTATATCACCCTCTTTTGTCACAGAACACATTATGGCAAATGTAACACAATTTAATAATTATGCAGGTCAGATCTTGTGAAAATTCTCGTAAGCTGACATCAGTCCTGTAGTCCAAAGACGGGTGCTAGTAGGGCCCCTGCATGAGCCAAGGCCGGGGGGGACCGGGGTCTCGGTAGGGTCCCCCTTTCATCACAATACATATATGGTAGTCGCAGCACCCAGTATGCTGAAGCGGAGAGTTTGATCGCAGGGGAACCTGACGGCTGAGGCACGAAAATGGGGCCTCCTGCGACTGGTTGTGCCTGAAAAAAATTTTTAGAATATCTTGGTTACATCATTGAAATATAGAAAATACTACTATGGACCGTAATGAAGTTATTGACGACTTTTAAAATCAATATTTGTGTAGTAATAGAAATTCACACAAGATGGCGTTTGTCAGCCTGAGATATAAAGTTGTCAAGTGCCTGTAATTTTTATTCATATAGTGGTACCTCAAATGGCTATTTGTATTTGCGTATTTGATATGTGTGTCGTTTATTGTAAAAGTGAATTAAGTCCTTGCAATTAAATTTTGAAATAATTAGCTTTTAGCAAATTAATGCGTAGTACTTTTAGTTCTCCGAGTAAACTAGTAATGCCATCTATGGGATGTTAGTGCAATTATTGGAGTTGCTTCACTTTTATAAAATATATGAGTAAATGTAATACTTTCAAGCAAAATAATATGTGTTTCAAAATATGGACTTTTATAATGATAGACACATATATCAAACAATCATTATGTTTAGAAAGCACGTGTGATAAAAGTATTTGTCTTGTTTGCCTATTCGACAAATACAGCAAACACAAAACTCGCGTTACAAACTCGCGAATCAAATTAGCCAAATAAGCAAATACGCAAGTTAACCGTCCACACTATGATCATATCTATTATTTTAACTCCTTATTTGGCTGCATGTGTAGACGATCATATTTGTCAGTGTTTGCATGTTTGTCTGTGTGTATAATATTTTTCCAAGTACATCAAACACTTGATAGCGAGTGAAGTTGCCATGTGAAGTGCTGCCATTATATATATATTTTTTTGTACTGGATTTTTTCGGGATTCGATTGAAATCACTTAAGTACATGAAAGTCGAGCCAGAAAGTTAAAGCGTATACCTAGAACTACACGAAGAGTCGATGCGATAGTTTTAGAATTCCGGAGAAATGTCAATAAATCAGCAGTATGTTTGAAATAAATATCTTAATAATTGTAAATGTATGAAATAAGAATTTTTTTATCGAATTTTTCCTATATATTCCGAAAAAATAGCTGTTGCAACAACCACGAAATTTACATACATATTTATTTTTATCGAGTTCTTAGGTTTTCGCGATTGTTACACATAGCAAATGAAACTATTATTCTTATATTGGACAAACAAAGTGAAGTATTTGTACCCGCGTCAAAGAACATATAGCTGATGTCAAACGCCGTCGCGTAAACAAGTCTGCAGTCTGCGAGCATGTCATGGATAAACCTACACATTCAATGAAGTTTGACAAACCCCAGGTCCTTGCAAAAGAAGTCCGTTATCTACCCAGGATGCTGCGAGAGGCCATTGAAATTAAAAAAACATCCTAATTTCAACAGGGAAGATGGTTTCTCCGTACCACCAGTTTGGGATCCAGTATTTCCTCTAATGAAAAATTCCAAACAGACATAAGACTGCAGTACTAATTAATATGTTTTAGTTTATTCTAATTTCTATTAATAATTAATAATAAATTAAACTTAATAAAAATTCATTCAATAAAATAATTTGTAGCGAAAAAACATAGCGTAAATTGGAATGTTTTCTTTGTAAAATTAAAAATAAGGTATTTAATTAATAACTATTGTAACTATAGTGAAAAAATAGGGTGGTTTGCATTAATAATAGACATCTGGTTGAAGACTGTACCACCTCAGTCAACCGTGACCATGGGACCTGTAAAGGGCCCGAAACATCGGTTTGTTTGAAAAAGCAAATATACGCGATTTAAAACAGGAAAAATAGTTTCATTTCCTATATTTATTTTTATTTTTCGATTTCCCGAATCCCGAAAAAATTCGCAACAAAAAATATAGTTGTAAGGTAGCCTCAATTTTCTGTCTCTGTTCCTCGAAGTTTAGGTAAATATACTCTACTTATTTCGATCACTGGTGATTAATAATAATAAATATTAAGTATTTCGTAACTCAGTTAGATACCTTTAAGGCTACCAGCCCTAGCTAGAGAAGAATAAAAAAATTACTCCCGGATACATGCTGTATCGCCTCTCACTTGAGACTGGTGTAGTTCCCAGGTCGTGGAAGCTTGCAAACGTGCAACTTGTACCCAAAAAAGGAAGCAGAGCTGTCAACTATCGACCTATTTCTGTGAGTTCCACACTCTGCAAAACTATGGAACGTGTACTTAATAACCGTCTCCTGTCGTACCTTGAAGACACGACCTCCTCAGTGATTGCCTGTACGGATTCCGACGAGGGCGATCTTCTGGGGATTTTCTCATTTATGGAGCAAGGCTATAGAAAGACATGGCGAAGCCCTTGAAGTGTCTTTAGATATTTCTAAAGCCTTTGACAGGGTCTGGCACGCAAGCCTTTTAAGTAAACTTCCCTCTTATGGGTTTTCCACCGACCTTTGCAACTGGATTTCGGATTTCTTGAGTGAACGTTCGATTCACGTGGTCTTAGAAGGCTACGCTTCCGAACATGGGGCGATAGAGTTCCTCAGGGTTCCGTATTGTCCGCAACTCTCTTTCTGCTGCATATCAATGATATGTTAATTCCAGGAGCCTTTGGGTATGCTGATGACAGCACAGTTGTGGACAGGTACTTGACCAATGCAAGGGTCAGTGGAGAAGAAATCCAGTCTTGTCGAGAGTCCACGGTTAGTCGTTTGTATTTGACACTTAAGGTAGTCTCCGATTGGGGCGATGCCAATCTTGTCAAATGTAATGCTACCAAAACGCAGGCGTGTCTATTCTCCACAAAACGGAGTCCTTCTCACCTGATTCCGACTTTTCGTGATGTATCCATACCGATAGCCGACCGTCTCCAGCTACTTGGGATGGACCTGTCGTCCAATCTGAATTTCGACAGATACATTGAATCCATGGCCAAAAATGCAGCCAGGAAGTTTGGCATCCTTTCCAACGTGAGGTGTTACTTCACACTGTGACAGTTGCTTCAGCTGTACTAAGCACAAGTCCGGTCGTGTATGGAGTACTGCTGCCACTTAAGGCATGGCTCTGCTAAATACCAACTGACCACCTTAGATTTAATAGACAAGCGTGGCAAGAGGTTTATAGGTGACTCGAAGCTGCAGAGCCTTGAACCCCGCCGTAAAGTTGCCTGCTTATAGGTATTCTACATATATCACGGAGAGTGTGCGATAGAATTGCATAATTTGATCCCCTTTCCATCATCGGGGGACTAGACGCGGGCTGGGGTTCCTCCCCTGTGTTGTGGATATTCCCAGGATTCGCACGAAGCGTTTCGCTTCCACATTTATATGGCGAGCGGCTAGAGAGTGGAATTCCCTGCCTGCGGACTTGTTCCCCGAACGCTATAACTTGGACATTTTCAAGGTGAGAGTAAATAGGCATTATTTAGGTGTGCATGCTACATCGTCGATCATCACTTCCCATCAGGTGAGATGGAGGTCAAATGCGCACTTTTTTTTTAAATAAAATGCAATTCGACCTCGCAATTTTGTCGTAAAGGGTTAGAATATAAAAATAGTGTTTTCATCGAAGAAAAAGTTTTCCCCAGTTTTGCAAGTCCACATTCCCAACAAAGACTTATGGAAAAGACGTTTAATATACTAGTTTCAAAATTGCATAATAGTTTTTGATCAATCGAACATTGTTTAAGCTTAGGGCACTTAATACTGAAAATGCGTGTTGGCTCGAGTTATGTGTCCGGAAGTGTATGTTTTTTTTCTCACCACAAAATACAATACAGTATAAATCTTAGTAGGTACCTCGCACTAGTATATTGCGGGAGTTGGGGTCTTGAGTTCAATTTATATTGCGGCGGAGCGAAATGGAAGTGATTTTTGTAACAGTACTGTACACAGCATGATGAACAGAACGAGCGGATGCTCGAGAATGCTCGCGCATTCCGTGGAAGGTTTTACCTCGCATCTAGTTTGTACATTACACAATTGATCGTAAATTTCATTACGCTATGTGCAATATCGTTACAAAAATTCTCTTCCATTCCATTCCGCCGCAATACAAATTGAGCCTCAGTGTAAGTTTTCAAATATGTAAACTTAGCTATCGCTAAAGATTGCGTTGAGACTTTAATTTAAACCTTATAGACATATATACCTAAGATCTAAATAAAAATCGTGGTAGTTAAGTTTGAATGATTACAAATTTACGCGCAGGCCTCGGGTGCTTGATGTAGATATTTCACCTGTATTACAAATCACCAGGATTAGCGTGACGAACGATGGAAGCGGGGAATCATCTGTATGGTCTTAAGCCATGGATAGGAATCTGAATTAGGTGTAGTTTCACCCCTAAGAATGGGCAAAAAGGGTGTGCAGACCCACCCTCGGGTCCAGGGTGACGTGCACCGGCGCCTTGGGGGTGACGACGTGCAGGCGCGTGAGCTGCGCCAACATGGGGCTCGCGGCGCGGCACAGGCACGTGGCGTACAGCGGCATGTCGCTGGCGGCCAGGCGTGCGCCGGCGCCGCCCTCGCGGGTGCTGGTGCTGCCGCCGCCCGACACCACCGAGTCGGGCGACGACATCATCAACCTGCAACAACGCGACGTTTCGTTCATTCGGTCTGTAATGGTACATTAATATATAACACGAGGCAGGCAATCCCCTTCCCGCCGAGGTATGTATAGTGCTTTTCTCAAACATTGCAAGAAAATAATAAAAGATTTAAAGAATTAAGGAGAATGTATTGAATCGTATTGTATTTTATTGTAAAGAATTTGTGTCTTCTAGGTCTTTAAGCTGTAGTGTTTTGTGGACTTTACAAAAAGATTCAGAAGTACTTGTGAAATCGTGGACTTTATAAAAATTCAACACAGCTTTGATATAGGCATATCAGCTTCAAGCTGCTCGCCTATTAATAAAAAAGTATAATAGAAAAAATAACAAATAATGAATTCCATAAGAAATTTTGTTTTTAGTTTTAAATTAGGTAATTTTAAATTTCAATATTGTATTTAAGCAAGTCCCATGTGCCGGTAACTTCACCAACATACCCTTCAGTACCAGATGCCCTTAAAAATGGGAATGCAGTAATGCTCACATTACTGCTTGGCGGCAGAGGTAAGATGACAGTACTTCCCTGGACGAACTCGTTCACAAGGAGCTCTACTGCTTCTTGAACGGTGAGGTATGACTCGTCTAAACCTTACCCATTTCTGAAAGAAAAAAGGTGTATACTATACGTATGACACGTACCTGTGGCCTCTTGGGCATTCGTATTCGAAGCCAATGAAGATCTTGACGGTAAGATGGTGCGGTGCTGGCTTGCCGCGGCCTCGTCCAGCGGGCGTCGTGCGCCAAGCGCTAGCCTGCTCTATGCTGAAAACCACGGCAAATAATTCATAATTAATCTAACTAAACAAACATGATGAATGCGAAAGTAAATCTGTCTGTTACGTTTTCACGTCTAAACCGCTGAAACATTTCGATGAATTTTGGTATAGATATCAATGGGACCCTGGAAAAGAATATAGGCTAAGTTTTGTCACAAAAATAAACTTTAACGGAGGTGAAATAGGAGACGAAAGTTTGTATGGAAAACCAATACAACTATGAAAATTAGTATAGTACAATAGGCAATTCGAAGAACTTATTCTACGTAGACGACTGCAATTGAATGTCATAAAAGAATGATAATTTGAATATGGTCAAAATAAATAAAACCCGTATTAAAACTTTTAAAACGTTAAACTACCATAAATCTAGCCAAAGCGTACAAAACTAATTGCACGTGAATAATTTGAAAAAAAAAAAAACAATTTTTTGTGCTAATATTCTTTGTACTAACCTAATTTACATTAATAATATTTTGAGTTTCTTTATTCTTTATTATCTTTTAAAACTAAAGACTTATTAACCAACGCTCAATACATAAATGAATAAAGTACCAAATGGGCTGTGACTACTTTATACAAATTTGTCAAGTAAATAAAACACAGAAATGCAAACCGAATGGGCGTACAAAAATTCGTTGTGCGATTCTCCTTCTTAACGTAACGATGGTTTACATTATAATGCTTGCCATCGTGGTGAAAGGACTTGCCGATCGGCGTAACATACACGCCGATTATTATCCAGAGTACGCCAGACATACAGGAAAAAATGGTACGTCGTACAGAGAGGTACTCGTACTCCTTACTCCGGCCGGGTCAGTGCAGAAACTAATTTTTCTATATTGTCTCCGATCAGGGCGTTTGTGGTACTGTCGTTCCTTCTGATTTCCATAACATAAGTGCTTTAGCTACTTACTTTGGGATCAGAACAACGTATGTGATATTGTATAATATTAAAAAAAAAGTAGTGTCATGTAATATTATAGGCCTTAGGAGGACTGATAAATATCGGCACGTTGAAACACACACATACTACGTCTCCATGCCCTCCGCTCCGCATAGTGTGTTGTCGGAGACGAAAGAACGATTACTCATTTAATTTGTATACATATACACTACATCTGTAAATGTATCACTTACCGTGCAGCGCAGTCCCAAGGTAGCAAATAATTAGTATGTGGCAAGAATCCAGGTTGCAGATGCTCGGGTAAACCTAGACTATGCGAGTAGAGGGATGATGGTCCGAGACAGACCAGGCTCCACGAGGGAAAGGCAGGGAGTAGACCAGGTGGACTTGCCGTGTGTAGCATACCGGGGAGGTACTCGGTCGTTGAAGGTTGTCTTGTCATAACTTTATCTGAAATGTTACAGTTATAAAGGTTAAGAATGAATGGAATAAGAAGTGCTAGGTAGTTTAACACAAACTGAGTAGCAGTAGCGCTACTTGTGAGAGTTAGAGATTTTAAGCCTCATCTGTATAATACACCCAATGACTGAAATTTCAAGTTACCTGTGGAACAATCTCCTCTAACAGGCACAACGTATCTGTTCTCATCAGCAGGCGTCTTCTCATCATCGTCAGCCGCAGATCCTGGAGACAGAGCATCAGGAGACCAGCCCTCGCCTCCTTCGCCCGAAGGCGTGTCACCGCCGGAGCCTCTGGCCTCTGAAAGTTCTTTTTCCTCCTGACTTGCCGCGCCTTTTACTGATGCAGCTCTGGAAAAAAATTAAAATAATAAATAGGCTGTTTGAAGATGCCTGTTATTTTTTATATTATGAGCTTGATAAAAACAGAATTAGTTATGTAGGGAAATTTAAAGGAAGCATAAAAGTCGCCTCAAATTGCCGCAGTTAGGCGGCGCGATGCTGCGATGCATTAAAAAAGCAATACAACGTAAACTTTACCTCTACAGGATAAGGTTACATTTCTTTAAGAAACAATTTCACTTTTGGTTCTACCCGGCCCGTACTAATTATAGGCAAAATGAGTTTATGTAGCGTGCAAGCAATAATTTTAACATTCTATAGTCTGTCTTATTTGATGACGGTTTAAAACACGGATTTATATATTTCATAAACTGGATCGCGCACTTCGATATACCATTATTACAAACTTACACCTTATTGGGTTATGTTAAGGTTTATTTTAAGTAAAAGTAAAAACCGAGACACGTGAGATAGCTGGAATTAGTGGTCTGTCCTTGTCTAACATGTTGCCAACGCTAAATAAAATCATCTTAGGTGTGCTAGTCTATTAACTTTTTTAAATTTTGGTTTAATAAAATTAGCTTATGGATAAAATACGCTTTAACTGTAATAATACAAAAAAATATATATCAACAATGAAACCTTCTATTATGAAGTAGCATATCAAATAAGTATACTAATTTGTAATATGAAATAATATTAGTAGTTTTGGTCATCCATAAGCGGCCACATTTTCCGGAAAAATTAAAAAGTTAAAAACAATATGGCTGGTTGAAACATGAATGAACACCCTATTAGAGAGAAACGCATTACTACTTTGAAGCCTCTCACTCGGCTCGTTTTATTAACTTAGTGCGCGGTCCTGTTTAATATACAAGTCCGTGGAGTAAAATGACAGTTGCTCAAAAGTGTTACCCGCTTGCGAACAGCTAGTGATTGCAGTCGATAAATATTCTATTGACTATCGACTGAATATTAATCACGCTTATGAAATAAACAGCCGAACTAGTTTCATTTGAATCATCATCGACCCATTATTCATCCGATGACTGAGACAATTGTCAATTTTTGTAAGAAATGAAACTATTTTTCCGGATTTAAATCGCGTATATTTGTTTTTTCAAACAAACCGACGTTTCGGGCCCTTTACAGGTCCCATGGTCACGGTTGAATTTTTGTAAGTTCATACATATATGTACATACACTCTATTTAGAACTATGTTTATGAAAAATACAAAGAGGAGACATACTTTAAAGTTTTTCATTTTAATTCAATGTAGATAATCAAATCCGGTGATTCGTTGTTAAAATGTATGTGAATAACAATTTATCACGAACCTAGTAGGCCAACTGTCAAAATAAGAATAAAGAAAGCAATAACGCAACTAGTAATCATTAGAACGTCGTAACCATTCACAATTCAGGTATTTTTGGCACAATTTTGTCTTCTTTCACAATCTATCGATAAAATTATCGACAACAACTACAGAACTATTTAAAATTTTATAAAAACTGGCAACGCTACAAATGTCATTTAACTCCGTCTCCAAAAAAGACAGACTATATGTACTTCCTTTGATCTGGATCTATTCAATAAGAGTGTGATTTCGGCAAAGACAGCACTGAGTGGGCAACTGTTTGACTCACTGTGAGGCTTCCAACTGCGGTTGTATTTTTATATTTGTGATCTATTTGTGAGGATCTATAATTAGCTCTCCGTTGTTACTGTTATTGCATAAGTTAGTTTTATGCCGCTGGTCTTCCTTTAAGAGAAATAAATAAACCATAAGTAGAAAATCATGGAACTCAAATGGGGTTGAGCGGGAAACCAACGCAAGGCAAGGTGACGATAGGTGGAGCAAGACGTCGACTGATTGATGGCCTAGGACGGGCAAAAGAAGCGTCTGGCGCCCTGTTGCAAGGTGAGTCTACGACATAGACACAGTAATATAGCTCCTTGTGAGAATTCGTTCAGAGAAATACTGCTACCGTACCTATTTCTACCGCCAAGCAGTAATGACAGCATTACTGTGTTCCGATTTTGAAGGGTAAGAGTGCTAGTGAAATTATCATAGGCACTTTGGACTTGTCAACTCATGTCGCAGTGTGACGGGCGCAGTGGCAGTGCCCCTCAGATCTTTGCGATTTAAAGCTCCGAATGACACCGCAAGTGTTATGGCGTGTCGGACTAACTTACACTACTCGTCGGCTGTAAAAATCAAGCGCGTAAAAATCAAACCTTCCTAAAACTCTGGCAATTTGTCTTTTTTATGCTTTGCTTATTTTTAAATAATTTCACTTTTTGTTTTTGTTAAGTTTATAATAATAATAACTCACGCACTCATAGCCCCGCACTAGGGAAATCCTGTATCGCGGGTGCCATTGACACACATAGACAACTACAAATCACACCCAAACTCACGAGAGAAATAAATGTAGGCCATACAAATATTTCTCCCAGCACAGGAATCGAACCCGAGGCCTCTGCGTGGCAGTCCAGTGTGGTAGCCGTTCGGCCACGGGGGCAGTGATTGACTTAGATGGTTTCTTAACGTTTACACTTTTCTATTTGTAAATTCTTTTTAGCACTCTGCAATATTTTAATGTGCTAGTGTCGGTCTTTAATAGATTGTGCATTTAGTTTTAAGATTTTGCATATAATGTTCTTAATTTTTTTTTATTGGCGTAACGTAAATTGCCAGACCAAACAAAAAGATCGAACAGTCAGAAAAAATTCCTTTGGTCCGGCCGGATTCGAAACGACGTCTTCTAGCATACCGTGCCAGACGCTATATCAACGAAATATCATAGATGGCGCTACGGCTAAAAAGTCGTTGAAAAACCAAATACAAAGATACGACGCAAGCACATAGAAAAATTCGTGAGGTCCGCTGGTTCGTTCCGTGGCTTAGTTCGTATAGCGTCTGGCACGGTAACCTAGAAGATGTCATCGGTTCCAATCCGATCGGATCGAAGGATTTTTTCTGAGTGTTCGATCTTTGTATTAATAATTATAACAAACTAGTGGAGTAATTTCACATAAAAATAATTGCATATCAATTTAATCAAATCAAATTAAAAAAAATGTGGACTAACCTGTACGTGGGAGTGGACGGCTGGAAGACAGGGAACTCGATGGTCTGCAATGTAGGGCAGACGCCACACTCTTCAGCAGCTTGCGTGTAGAAAGTGTGGTTGGCGCGACGCACGGTGTAGGGATCGTCGCGGGAGCATTTGGTGCGGCCGCAATTGCACGCGCTTATGTACCGAACGCCGGAGGAGTGCTCTTTGGTGTTGTCACTGGAAAATACATTCAATGTCATAACATTAGACGCTGACGCTAAATTACATTATTAAGGACAACCTGTAACTTTTCTAAGTTTTGTCCAACGTCATTTCCAAGAAGACTCGAGACAAGGTAAGAAAGAACACGCGAACGTTGTCATTTCTTAACCGACTCCAAAAAAGGAGGAGGTTCTCAATTCGCCTGTATTTTTTTTGTGTATTGTGCGTATACGCGCTTAGGGTGGCAAACCGATTTCAATAAAACTTGGCAAATATGTAGATTGTAATTCCACGAATTTTTGAGGTCGGTTTTTTTAATAAACAAGTTATTCCATTTACACCTCGACCGTTCTCTGTTCTTAGCAATATGCACTCGAGAGTTTTTTTTTCTGGTAACTGATTTGCTATAAACGGGTTTAGGTAATTGATATCTGTCCGCACAGAATGTTGCGATACATAAAAACGAACGGGCGCACCGTCCTGTTCCTCGTTGACGTTTTAGGACCTATGTAAAGCAGGATTTAGAACACGTCCTTCAGATTCCTCTTTCGTCAGATCACTGTCGCAAATTAGTTTTGTAATAAGCATTAATAAATTTAGTCTGTTATGATACTTAAGAGTAGGGAACTAACACGGCAGTCCAGGCATCTCAAATTTTGAAGATGAGATAACAGGCGTCTGCAAGGAGTGCACTGGTTGGTCGGCACTACAGTTGGTAAGTTTGGACAATATTTATTAATAACTTAGATACATTATTTGTTGACTAGACAGCCTGAAGATAGAGCATGACGAATCAGTAACAGAATTAGAATAGTCCCGCCACTTGTACTAAAGGTATAAAGGGGCATGAAGCGGTGGCAGAGGAAGGGCTGTAGGGGTGTGCGTGTGGAGACCCAACATAGTTCCGGTCCAGAGGATCGATATGAGGTCAAGGAATTGTTAGGACAATTATAGTAGTCCTATGAAGTAGAATGGAGTTAGAAGAAGTTTACGCAAAGAAAGATACCATATTGTGATAGAAAGAATGTCGCATATCAACTGTGAACTGGCGATCGGTACTATCTAAATTTTGACAACTTTACAGGATGAAGAAAAAAATTGTTAGCGTCATTTATATAGCATCTGGTTTATTAAATAAAAATACGTAGTCTACATACAAACGTGTGTAATAAAATACATTCCTTCGGAAACGTAGGTGCCATTATGTATGCCCTTACAAACAACATAGGACTACCTTGGCTGGAAGGTACTTCCATGTTCTCAGCGCACGTCTATATAACTTCATTATCACTAAAATAAATATATACTCTCTTTCCCGTTACGAAATCAAGAAAAAATTGACAAGTTTGTTAAAATGCCATGATTATGATGCCACAGAGGCGATGTTATTGTAATCTCACAAATTTTATTTAAGTGAATAATCAAACAATTAGGTTCTATACCTTCATCTAAACCAACCTTATATGCATCCAAAAGCAACAACTATAACGCACCCTCAGATATTTCATACACATACACTGATTGTTGGATCAGTATCACTCACAACACACTCTACACTACTCTCCACTTTCTTGATACACACTGCGACTTATTTATCTAACATAGTTTAAGTCTTCTATAAACTGTACTAACTCTTTGAACATCTTTCTCATAATTTATTCTTTTCTGGGTTCCAAATGAACAGTTTTATTGTACTGGTTTTGGGATACAGAGTTCCTTTTAGTTTACCTGTAAGCCATTTGCTGATAAAAATCCGATTGATGCTTGCCCGCCGTGGCGGCAACGGTACTGTCTGCTAATACAGGTTAAATCCTTTTGTGGGGTCTGGATGTTGCCTGACTGGTCAGCAATCAATCAATAACTAATAATTACTGTATTATTTCTATGCTATTTGTAATGGCTATCAATAAAGTTATTATTATTGTAATAAAAATATCTAAAACCTACGTATTTTTAATTAATAAACCAGATGCTATATAAATGATTTCTTCTTCATCTTGTAAAGTTGTCAAAATTGAGATTAGTACCGGTTGCCAGTTCCCAGTCGATATGTAATTTACATTATGATTGAACCCCTTAGGCGTGGCGAATCGGGTTCCGCTCTTTCTGCTCGCTACGCTTCAATAGCAATAACTTACGAAAAGTATGTTATACAGTATAGACGTAAATACAAGTTGTGGTAGCCAAATAGTTTGACTTACCACCTCTCAAGTAGAGGTCGCGAGTTCGATTCCGGGCTCGCACCTCCTAGTTTCTCGGAAATTATGAGCGAAGTTTAATATAAAATTTATTATGAGATTTTCGGCGAAGGAAAGGATCGTGATGAAACCTGCACGTGATCAAAGTCGTGGCCAGCGTGGCGGATTATGGCCTACACCGTCGCCTGAGAAGAAACCCGTGCACAACAATGGGACGTATAAACGGCTTGATGATGATGAGAGTAAATGTTTGTACGTTATCAAAAACACAAATTGTACCAATTAGGGCTTGAAACATGTCCCTAGTAATATGTGGAAGCTTTTAATTGGCATCTGATTAACCACATTTAAATCCATGTTCTAAAAGTAGCTATAAGCTCCTCTAATAAAATAAAATAAATAATAATAACGCACACACTCAACACAGCCCCGCACTAGGGAAACCCTGTGTCGCGGGTGCTACGGACACACACATAGACAACCACAAATTACACCCAAGAGAAATAAATGTAGGCCATACAAATACTTCTCCCGGCCCGGGAATCGAACCTGGGACCTCTGCGTGGCAGTCCGGGCATGGTGAAAATAAGTAAGAGAACGCGTTCGCAAGTGAGGCTGAGAAGCGAGTACTGACTGGTCGGGCTCGATGCAGGGGTGGTGCGTGAGCGAGAGCGCCTCGCAGAGGCTGCGCGCGCGCCAGGTGGCGGCGCAGGCGGCGCGGAGGCGCGCGCGCGCGCTGCGGGCCAGCGGGCCCCGCGCCATCGTCTCCAGCACGCCCAGCGCCACGCCCACCTGCGGACACCAGCCGTCACGAGACCTTCCCTACCTCGTCCGCCTTCGATTCCCGGCGGGACCGATTTGGGAAATCTACTTTTCTAATTGGACATAGTTCTGCAAACAAGAACCAACCCACACGTCGAGTGAAATTGAGTTTTATATTTAGGTAGAACACCAGACGTGTCCTCTACCCGCTCACAAAAGAGCCTGGCAATATACCAAGCCGCTTTTTAAAAGCTAAAAAGAACCATGCTGCTTAACTTCATATAATATTTTTTTTTAATATGCTAAATGGATCCATGTCACATGTACTGAAGTACTGTAGATCTTTAGCGTTTTCATTACGAAAATTAGAACATGGTTCTCGTTAACTAAATAAAAAGATACATTATGTTTTCTATTTCTTGCCATATAATATAATAGTTTCCCTATATCATTCTCAATACTACAAATAACTCACGTTGTTTGTCTTCACACTGTTTTTACAAAAATCTAATTATCTCGTAAATGATATTTTGTGGGTTGGTGCATAACTATGTCCAATTATAGGTGTCACAGTCGTCTTCCAAAACCCAGTACATACATTATAACGAGTATCTGTGTATGACTTGTACATAATTAAACTTTTTATACGATACCATACGAACAAGCAGTGGGACTGATGGTAAGCGACACGCTTGTCCATAACAATTGCAGTGCAGTTCAAAAGACACTCCCACTGCGCCCGTCACCCTGGGACATGACTTGACAAGTCCCATAATAATTTCACCCTTCAAAATTGGAACACAGTACTTCTTCTTTCACAAGGAGCTTTACTGCTTCTAAAACTAACTGCCTTGGCTCAAGCGACTCGTGAAGAATAATTTGAACGTTAACTTGCACATACAAGGAGGTACACTATACTATAGGCGACCAGTTTCTATATTAAGTATGTTATGTCGAGGTCATGCGTTGATTAGATTTTACTGGTCTGGTGGGTCGACATATAACAGTAACCTGTACCAAAAACGCCTTTTTAATCAAAAAGTAGAAGATAATTTAAAAAATCGACCCAAAGTTATCACGTGACTATTATGCCTAATAGATACCATTGGAAAGCTAGGTGTAGAATTCACAATAAAATTTAGCATTTTCTAAATTGCAGGATGTTGGAACTAGGATCACGGATCTCAAACGGAGTTGGGCGGGACACATAGCGAAGCGAGGTGATGACAGGTGGAGCAAGACGTCGACTGATTGATGGCCGAGTATGGGCAAAAGAAGCGTTGGGCGCCCAGTTGCAAGGTGAGTCAACAACATAATAAGCGTCGCGGGGCGTCACTGGATATGTCTAGCACAGGATCGTGGTGGATGGCACAAACGTCGGGAGGCCTATACCCAGCAGTGGGTGAAGTCAGGCTGTGGATGCTGATGATATGTAGGAGATACCCAGCAGTAGGAGATACAAGTGTTGACGATGTTACTTAATGTTTTTAATAATACAATTAAATTTAATGAATTTTCCTCAAGTTTGTGCAGTCCCAGCTGGCGTACATTTTTTAATATTCTGAAATAAGATCATCAATCTTCTTAAATCGCATAATTGTTATTATAAACGTCTCTTGCAAAAAATAAATGACGAATTTGAACATTACGAATAAAAAAGGGATTTGGACAACAAATTTCGTGAAAAATAACAACCCATTTCGTTGTTGCTAAATACAAAAAGAATACGAAGAATACGAAGAAATACAAAAATATTTATTTTGTTTTTGACCTGTCTAGAAAAGCAGTGATATTAATGGTTGTTTAAAAAAAAATGTTACTGGTGAAAAATTCATGAACAAATTTAATGGTTAATTATACATATTTTTTAAAGCGTGAAACTCACAGAAAACGGGCGCGAGACTGGCACAAATCGGGTACCGCGCCCGCTCGTGGTGTGTGTCAGGTCGGGTGGACAAGAAGCCACCCGACCCGACATGTGCCCGACTCGTACCCGCTGTCAGTGACTTTCACGCTTAATTGTTTTTGGTAAAAATACTACCTTATGAGCATGATGCTGACTAGAATAATGCGCTGGCAGACCTTCAGCATACGACGCTTGTGCCATAGGTAAGACCTGTACATAGAAAAAACTTTAATTATTTAAGTTGAAGTGGGTTTATTTATTTTATAAATTTATTTATTATATATTTAAATTATTATTTATATAATCTATGCTTTTTAGTTTAAATTAACGTTTTGTGTTTTAAAATTATTTGTTATTTTTTAAGCTGATGGCTCTATATGGCCCATGCCCAATAAATAAATAAAAATCGAAAAATTGTTACTGCATTTTCTTTCTGAAAATATAACAGAGACATTATAAATTGAAATGACAGTTTTAAAAGTTAATTTTTAAGTCAAACCTTGGCACATCTGGCTTGCGAGAAACGCACATCTGTAGACAGCGCGTCATACAACGCCGCACCAGGGTCTGTTTCGTCGTCTGCAGGCCGCGCTGTCTCGTCCAGGTATAGAGGTGTGATAGCCTGCGCCGCTTTTCGCCATGTTGAAGCTCTGGGCAGCTGAAATAGGATTATTTCTCCTAGTATACTCGTCTATGGCACAGCAGTTAGCACGGTGGGCGCTAGATGATTCGATTCACAGCAAGACCAATTTTAGTAGCAGTAGAGCTCCTTGTAAAAGAGCTCGTCCAGGGTTACCTACAGGAGTACTTACATGTTGGTAAAGGATCACACATAAGTATACATAAAAATAAATAATCTAAAAGTATTAAATAACTGACCTCAAAATTCATTCATCCCTAAGTTTTCTCTGAGGTAGAATATTTTGTTCAATTTAAATGGGACTACTATTGAGGTACCATCCTTCTAACAAAAAAGAATCACCAAAATCGGTTAACAAACGCCAAGTTATTGTGTAACATATCGCGCAAAAAATAACTTACAGTCGAATTAAAAACCTCCTACTGTTTTTTAAAGTCGGTTAAAAATTCTAGATCAGTGAATATTTACTTAACTTTTAAACTTCAAGTAAAAAAAAATTCTATTTTATGAAATATTTTGATTTGAATTTTTTTGCTACACATATTAAATCATTTTTTGATTTGAGAAGGAGGCACTATCCGCTCTATGCGTATAACTTCCTTGAATTTTAGAAATACACTCTCAGTATTATGATCTTCGTTACAAGGCACCTAGTCATCAGTGGCGCATAGCTTACTTTAACCATCAAGTGTAGACGATTCAACAAACCATGAAAATCATAAACCTGAACACTCACCTCAAAAAATGAAGTACTCATTGCATACTTCCCAACATTATCATCAAAACCTTCACCAAAAGCAATATCAATGTGCCCCTGCAGGAACTGCTTGAACCCTGGTCGTTCACTAACAGGTTCAGGTTCGCTTCCTGAGCAGAGTTGTACCAAGCCACGAACCAGCGAACTCACGTCACGTGCATTACCTATTTCATCGTCTGTACTTATGTAGACGAATTCCTCATTCTTTGGTATCGCGAAGAGGGATTTGGCACTGGAAAGGGACGAAACAACACGTTATGACATAGAAAATGGTATAGGTATACATCTATGTAATACAAAAATCTTTTGACAGTAGAAACTGATGAACCATTGTGTGAAATGTCACGTAATAAGTTATTCCTAACGTGACCATACGTCCAGCTTTGAGCAGGACTGTCCCGCTTTTCAGCTTCGTGTCGCGATGTCCCCAAAATACTTAAAAATATCCCGCTTTGACAACAGGAAACATGTGATAATATATTTTAAAAAATGGCGCGAAAAAGTATAAAAAGCCAGCCCACCAGACTACACAAGATTAGTTATTTTTTAAAACTTTTAATCATTAAACATTTTTAGTACTTTTTAAAAATGTTAAAATCATTAAACATTTCGTAACTATCATAAACACGTGTTTTATTTCTAAAACAATAATCAATTTACAGGCGTCCCGCTCTGAGGGACAAAAACAATTGTCATATCAATTATACCTTACTATACTAATAATAAATGGTGAAATTACAGGCACATGAGACTGATGAGAGCAATGAAATTCGTGTCGAATAAATGGGCCCTTAGGATCTATCTACTTATCTAAATATGTATAGTGTTAAGATAATGATGGGATAGTGCTTTATGCACAATCCAATTAACATCCTCAGTAGCCATTCTGTTTGCACTGTGGGTTCAACTCTCCCCAATTTGGGAAATGAAAATTACTAAATTTGTTCACGCCTAGGTATTTTGGTTAGAGCCCCGGAGTGCATCCAGAGAATATCTTAGTTTGAGATCATATGATTGGTGTGGTTGGAAAAAAAAATGCAATGAATTGTCAAAGTTAGCACAACAATTTTTTTTTGAATAGCCAGTCTGGATTACTACATTTTTAATCATTGCCACAATCAATTAATTTGTAACTTACCAAACATTAGTAATAATCCTGGCTTTTCTTAATATGAAGTAAAGCTGGTCTTCAACAGCATGCTCAAGTCTCTTTAGCCCTGATGGGTTCCGTTTAAGCGGAGTGGGAACTTTGCGGAAGTGGAACAACAGACGGGGGCAGCAGGAACGGCTGTGACTCTCCCACACACCACCAAGTGAGGACACTGCTTCTGTGGTATGTGGGGATAGTTCCATCCTGGAAAGTGTATGAAAAACATGGTAATATATTATAGATTTTTTCAAAAATCTAACACAATATATGACACATTCTTTAATTGTAAGAATTTCAAAATTCCTTGCAATCAGAGAAATGTAAATTGATAAAGTTACATCACACAATTACATACAATGAAAATAATTCTCAAATGCTTGCCTTAATAGGCAAGCATTGACACACATAATTAAATAGGCAAACATAATTAAATGGATTTTTTATGCATCTGTGACTTAATATTAGGTTGCTGAAGAAAAATTAAATCTATTAAATTCCTATTAAATTATGCTAGTAACAAGTAACTTAGTGCTATAGAAAAAATCAATCAGAATAATCAGTGGTATCCAAAGAAGAATATCTGCAAAAACCATTTTTGTTAAACTGGGGATCATGACAGTAACATCATTGTTTATTTTAAATTCCTTGAAAGAAGTACACAAAAAGAAGAATAA